ATATGTGCAATATCTGCGTCAGATAATAGCAAAATGGGTTAGAGCAAAAGTTACAAAATCTTCATAGACATACAAAGAAGCAACTTGCTTGCATACCCCGGAATCAATTGTGATCAACAATCATATCTTTCTCTAAAGAATGCAGATCAATCAATCCGATTGCAGATTGTATTTTTGTTTGCGCCACTCTCTTGCGCTGATCCTTTAACTCCCTCTGTAAAATACTTTCATTAATAATATGAGATATATAATATATGGAACAAAGATGGCTTCTTAAGAAGAAAACTAAGTGACTATCTACTAAAGTATCCTTATATCGTTTGGTTGATATCGTAAACAAAAAGACTGATTTAGTTTATAACTTTGAAGAATGTATGATTCAGAGTTAGAGGCACGCAAGTTCATGGAATTTGACTCAAGGCTCAATGCACATGAGTAGAATCAAAATGCCGGGAACCAAGTTGCACAGAGGGCTACAGGTTTAGTTCAATCACTAAAAACAGGTGAAGCTGTGAAGAATGGAAAAATCAAATAAGGATGTTATAGTTTCAAGAAATACAGGGGAGATGTGATTTTTTCAAAAAAATAAAAATAGTTTACCTGTTCTAATGGAGTCCGAGATAGAGTTGCATTGGTTTCAGGTGGAGTTCATCATTAAATCTGCAAAAGAATCAAAGTTTTTCTAGAATTTTGTGATAGGCAGTCTTAGAAAGGGAAACTCAATTGGTAATAGTAATGAGATAAATGTATGAACCTTAATTACTACAACAAATCAACTGGTAAATATAAAGATATATTAATAAATAGAAATCAAAAATACAATACCAAATCAAGAAGATGATAAGGAATTATAGAAGCGACACATTTCATAGTGTGACGGTTTTGTAGCGCTTAGATTCCTAGAATACAATTGCAATGTTTCTATTTTCCAATACTAAAGAACAGAATTGAAACCTTAAAATTGTGTATACCCTCAATAAAAAAAAAATATAGAAGAAGAGCTTTGTGAAGGATTTGCTTTTGTGATTATGTTGTGTTTGATTGTGTATTTTTCCTTATGCCAACATCCTTTATATAGGAAAGAGTTGCACATATCTTCACTTTGTCTTGAAAACTCAACGTACAAAAGTGATATAAATGGAGAATTAGAAAACGTATCAACCATCATAATGGTGACTTAATCACCATATATTGATTACACATGCTTTGACCAAATCAATTTCTTAATGGTATTTGGTTGTTTCTTTTTTCCACTTTGTGTTTTAGACAAAACCAACAAAATGAATTAACATAAGCATAAAGCCTAATTTATATATCCAAACCCAAATCCAAATATAAAATATGAAATTTTAACATTTAGTCAAAGTTTAAAAGTTTTTCTTGCTTATCAAGAGACTCCCTTTCTCATTTACAACAATTCTGATTTTGACTTGTGATTACATACTTTATAATGCTCATGGCTACGATTATATTATGCCCAACATCTGGTTATTCCGACAAACGTTTTCGCCAGAAACTCACCAGAAAATGTTCTAAAACAAATTCATCAAAAATGAGTTCTAACAATTCCCATGAATAAAAATAACTTTAAACACATGATGACTCGATTGATTTGACAGACTTGACTACCTAGAAAAGACTGGACAGATGGACTTTTTGAGAGTATAATAGAAAAATTCATTACTTTTGAGTTGGTAGCATTTTTTAACATTGAACAAGTCATTGTTAATAGCTGTCAGATTTACTCGACCACGAGGTAAACATGATGTTTTGAACAGTCCAGGCTTTTCTCTCACAATAAAATTCTATATTATATTTATTTTGATCTTGAACATGCTTGATAATCTGATTTTAGCAAAATAAAAAAAGAAATACTTAGAATCACATTTTTAACTTTGAAAGTACAAAATTTTGTATTTTATGCAAACCTACACAATTGAGGATATTATTGAACTAATTAATCTATTTTGATTTTGATGGTCATTTCATTTATTTTCAAAAAGTTTAAGGTATAATTTTTTTGATTTTATTTTAACTGTCATTTCTTTTAGTTTTCTAATTTTTATGGGCTTTTATTTTGTATATAAATACTTTACAAACCACAAAATATAAATTATCTAATTTTTATATTTAAATGAGTTTTTACATACATATTTCTTGGATATTCATATGACATCATTTAAAAGTTAAAAAACAAACACTTATTTTAACAAGCCACAAAAATGTAAAGTATCTAGAAATACAAAATTTAGAATGCTATTTCGAATAAGAAATAAAAAAAGTGTGAGAGATTGATGGTTAATTTAATTTTTAATCTCTTCAAAAATAAGCGACATATAAAAAATATATAAATTTATAGAATGAAAAGATATAGATAAATACGATAGCATATAAGTATAAGATCGAGTTTTTTAAACAATTAACACATCATAATTTATTTAAAATAACTTAACAATAGCTTTACATATTTTTAGGTTAATTAAAAAACTAAAACAGCATTTAAATTTAAAATGAACAGAACAAAAATTAAATAGATAAACATAATAGTAATATAAAAATATGATTTCGATTAAGAAATAAAGAGATTTGGTGGGATTGATAGTGAATTTCTTCTGTTGATCTTGCTCAAAATGAGTGACCTAAAAGAAAAAAAGCCAACTGAATAAAGATATTCAGTGAGTAGATATAGATATATTCGATAACGTATAAGTATGAAAGTGAGTTTTTAACAATTAATACATTACAATTTCTATTTAGAAAAACAACTTCACAATACATCTACATATTTTAGGATAATAAAAAACTAAAAAAACATTTAAAATTAAAAATAAAACAAAATTATTTAAAAGGTAAACATAATAGTAATATAAATATATAAAATTATAAATTTAAAAAATTGAATAAACAAATAGTATCGCAAATTCTGTTGAAATACAAATTCAGAGAGCTATTTCAAATAAGATATAAAAAAAAAGTAAGTGAGACTAGTGGTGAATTAACTTTGCAGATCTCACTAAAAATAAGTTAAAAATAAAAGAAAAACTATTTAAATAGAGATATTCAATGAAAAAAATATAAATATTTTTAACATCTTATAAGTATATAAAAAATATTTCTTATCAATTAACATACCACAATTTTATTAGCAAAAAAACTTTACAATAATCTTATATTAAGATAATAAAAAACAAAATTAATATTTTTAAATTTCAAGAAAAAAGCAAATCTAAAACCATACAAAAAAATTAACATAATAATAATATAAATATAAAAAAATAAAATTTTGATTTATAAATAACTTTGCGCAACGCGCAGGTTAATTTCTAGTATTACTAATCTATAATATAAAAGATGGCCAACTCTCTCCATATGAGTGCCACCTCATCATTTTAGTTTATTGTAGAAATGACATGTGTCATTATTTAAAAATTTAATGATACAAATTATGTAAAAAGTTAATACATAAATTTAATGTATTATTAATCATAATACTAAAAGAATATGAAATATGAAGAATTAGATAATATATTTTAATAACAATATATACTTAATATCCAAACAATTATTGAATATATATTTTGTGGTAGTTTTTAAATATCATTAACAAAATTTATGTTTTTTATTTAAGAGTGTTTTCTTATTTTTAATTAATATTATAAGTTATTATTATAAAAACAATTATACAAATATAAAAATAATAATTATTTGATATTTTGAACCTTAAAAAGTTAGAAGAAAAATTTATACAATATTATAATAAACTTTAAAACAATTTCTTTATAAAGTAATAATTATTTAATAATTTATTTTATTCAAACTTGATCCATTAATAATTTTAAAATTAATAAGATATCAAAGTTCTAATATATTTATTTATAAAATGTTTAATACAACTGTATAAATTAGAATTATAAATCAATTATTTAAGCTCATAAAAATATAAAACCACGGCATTGCTATTGTGTAAATCTACGCCGTGAAGAAGTACGACCTGTTAAAAAGACTCGTCTCTATCTATGTTGTGCTTGAAGAGTTTCTCTAATTAATTTTTGTTATATAGTACTTCTGAGATTTGCACTATATCTATTTAATATATTATATATATATATATATATAAGGTATAATATATTTTACATTTCATTATCAATAAACCATTGATCACATATATAGTTAATATCCACATAATATGTAAATATGTATTTTATGTTTATTCAAATACACAATATCCTTTAAATTATTTTAAATATACGATAAAATAAATTGTAACTATATTTTTTAATAAATAATACTCCCACTGTTTCATATTTCATAAAGAGTGTCGTTTTAGAGTTTTATTTTTGTTTCACAAAAAAATATCGTTTTGTATTTCCAATACAAATTTTTAATTAAAAATCAAATTTTAACCTTGTTATTTTAGTGTATTAATTAAAAAGAAAAAACTGTTTAATGTATTTGTAAAAGACAAAAAAGACTTTTTATTAAGTTTCTTAATATGTGTGAAAAGTGTCAAAATGACACTCTTTCTGAAACAGAGGAAATATTGTAGAAAAAAATCCGCGCTTCACGCGGATACTCATCTAGTTACTAATAAAAATAGGCTGCTCTAATAATTTCTTTTTTGGCTGAGTCATCTGATATCCAATAATATTATCTAACAATATTAAAAAGATTCATTATCCGATAATATTTAAAAGACACACAAATTTCGTGAGTTTAAAAATTAACGAGGGTAGATATAAAGTAATAATATCAATAATATATGTTATTAACGTATACACTTTTATATTACTACTAAATATAAGTTAGAAATTAAGATTTAAAAATAATTTTTGAAATGACCCACTTGACAATTTTATTACGAAATATGATTCTTCTTAAAATGATTCATAAGAGAGATCCAATAGTGTGTTTTTAATCTATCATTAGTATCTGCCATTAGGCTATAAATAAAAATAGTTAGAAAAATATCACTAATATTATCAAATTCAATCATCCAATACCACCCTTTAGAAAAATTATAAAATATGAATGATTTTCACAATTATCTCTCAATGAAATTATTTTAAAGCATTTCCTCTAAAATTTATCACGTGCCAATCTAGTTGAAGGTAAAAGATCATGTATTCGTACGTATCTAAGAATTATCACCAAATTTAAATGAAAGAAAAAGGAACTACAACGAGATGGTGTAGAACAAAAAATGGAAGAAAGATTCAAGATAGCTTTTACTCAGAATGTGATGATTAATCAATCTTAACAGAAGAGTAGATAAGCCTGGTGAACCAAAAGCAAGCGTAGAAACCAATTGCACCAGTGAAGACGAAGAAGACGTACGAGACAATGAGCATATACCCGAAGTAGAGGATCCCGGAGACGAGCTTGGTGATCTCGAGCTTAGTGTAGAAGTAAAACGCGGCGTAAAGAAAGAGATAAACCGCAGAAGAGCCTGACGTTAGGTAAGATCTCCACCACCATTGATAGTCTTCGCTGCAGAGCTGAAAGTAACAGAGGACGACGGTGATCTCCGCGCAAGTGATGATCAGGATGATGAAGACGATGAAGAGGAACCCGAATATGTAGTAGAACTGGTGTAGCCATATGGAGGTGAGTATGAAGAAGAGCTCGATGAAGACCGCGCCAAACGGGAGAATGCCTCCGATCAAAATGGAGAAGACCGGGTTCATGTACCAGGCCTGTACCGGTATCGGTCTTGGGATCTTGTTGGTTTTCACCGGATCTTCCGGTGCAGGCTTCCTGAAACCGATGTAACCACCGATGAAAACCAGCGGGACAGAGATGCCGAACCAGAGGACGACGAGAGCAAACATTGTACCAAACGGGACCGCTCCTGACGATTTCTGTCCCCAGATTATGGCGTTAAGGACGAAGAACGCCACGAAGACGGTCGCTGGGAACATGAAGGCGGTTTTCAGAGCGATTCTCTTCCACTCGGTGCCTCCTTTCAAAGTCTTGTAGAGCCGTGAAGACGCGTATCCCGCCAAGAGCCCCATGAAAACCCATAGCAAGAGCATCGCCGTCATGAGACCACCTCGGTTCGAAGGAGACAAGAAGCCGAGACAGGCGAAGATCATGGTGACGAGGATCATCCCAAAGCATTGAACTCCGGTGCCTGCGTAGACACAGAGCAAGTCCTGATTCTCCGGTGGCCTGAAGACATCTCCGTGGACCAGTTTCCATCCCGTCTCCTCGAGGACCTCTTCATGAGTCTCTAACTGGTTGTAGTTGGAGATGTCTCGGTAGAGAGTTCGCAACATGATCATAGCGACCATACCAGAGAGGAAAAGAACAATCATCATTGAGTTAACGATCGAGAACCAATGAATCTGATCATCAGCCATCAGGAGGTAAGTGTCCCACCTCGAAGCCCATTTCACCTCGCTTTCTTGGAAATCAACGTCGTACGTGAAGATGATCTCGTTCCCTTCTTCAACCTCTTGAGGAGACTCAGAGTTTGTGACTGCTCGCTTTGTATGCGGATCACAACTCGTTAACCGAGCCTTCTCACTCCATTCACCTTCATATTCATGCTTGACACTGCATTGCGATCATCAAATCCATTACACACACTTCAAAAGCCAAGTCCTTAATTAGACACAAACCACGACAAAACGCAACCTGAACGGCTTGACCTCAAAACCGACGATTCTTGAAGAATCTGTGTCTACATCTCTGTGATATCTAACAGTGAAGGTCAAGTGGTTGTGGATGAAATACTTCTCCTCTTTGCTCTACACGAAACCAAAAGGTCACAAGTCAGAACTCATACAGGAAGGTGACGATGAAGAGTTTTCTTACCCCAACAAAGATTCCCTTGAGACCAACATGGAAGCCATGCTGATAAACCACGACGTTGTCCTGATCCTGCCTTCTCACCGGAACAACTAGAGGAAGATTGTCCAAAATCCTGCATTAGAAATCAAACCTCTCCTCATGAACACACATAAAAGAAAGAAAGAAAAAAGACCATGGAATGAATTGCCTCACATGTTAACTCGATACTCATCAGCGATCTTCTCCTTCAACGCCTTGGCGCTCTTCTTATCGAGCTTTACACGACAAACCGCTGCGCACATCTGCGATTCCCTCATTTTAAACTGCGAAGAGAAGAAAAGATCTCATCAAGAACACAAAGCAAGGAGGTGGTTGATGGAGGAAAGAAGCAAGATGACACATACCACAAAGGGAGAGTTCTCGATTCGATCACCGCGAAGAACTTCGCCGAGATTCTCTGCGCTATCAACGATGTGTTCAGGACGGCAATAAGGAAGAGAGTAGTAAGAGTATGGAAGCTGAGTCTTTGTAGATGTCAGTTTATTAACTTTCACCATCAATGCATCTCCCTGCAAAAAAAAAAAAAAAAATCCAGAAATCCAAATTTTGTTCATATCGATTTCAAAATTTCAAACATAATACACATTCACGAAGCTTTATCAAATCAACAATGGCGAAAACATATTCTCTTCAAATTTAACACACAACACTTAAAAAGATCAAAATCGCCCAAATCTCATGAAACGAAAGTAGAGAAACGGAGTCGCGACACGATGTAGATCCAATTTCAGCAAGATTTCGTGATCAAACTAGGAATTTCGTCGGATCTAAATCACCAACAAGCCGAAATAATCGATAAAATTTTCGAACTCGTTGTAAATCAAAAACCTCTATTAATCCATTAGGAAGATAACGAAACCACTTTTCTTTTTGAGGCTGCATTTGTATATACACAAGCGGATTTTTATAACTGACCATTTGAAAATCCTGTGGAGCGACGCCGGGAAGGTAAAAGCCATCGACATGGACATTGAGAAAGAAGAAGATAACAACAGCGAAGATCAGAATCCGAATTTCGATCGGTTCTCTTAGAACCGCCATTGATGAGCTCGATTTCTTCTTCTCCGTGTAAAGGGAAGTGAGAGTGAATTTTCTTTAAATGCAAGGAGGCATCATGGCAATTGGACGATTTATGACCGTTGGATATTTTAAAACCTCGTTTGATCTAATCGACGGTTGAGATTGCCTCATATGTAGCTGTCGGTGATTCTTCTTTCGTCAGTGTAATCAAAATGTCAAAGTCAACACTTTTAAAGGTAAAAAATTAATGTAAAGTGGAAACTAAAAGAGTTTTTTACGTAACTTCTCAATACAAAAAATATCAAAGTCTAATTGTTTATGAATGATGAATCGAAAAGAAACGATTTTTTTTAGTTTAGTAGGTTAGATGAAACTTGTTAACGTAGCAAAGTAGAAATGAGTTAGTGTGGAAAATACGAATAGTTATGAAAATGTATTTGGAAATGATAAAGAAAGAAAAAAAGAAGAATTAAAATCAATCAAAAGATTAATTCAATTTGGTAAATGAGGGTGACACGCTAACTATGCAACCCACACGCACTAGCAACGACCTTAACACATAAATAAATGCATACTGTATTTACCATATATATATAGAAGTATATACGCATTTACACAATGCATATTCGGATTTACACAATGCATATTCGGATTGTGAAAGGGAAATTGTATTAGATAATCATATTTTGATTGGTTATTAGTTTTTTAATTATATGAAATAATGGCTACGATATTTTGCATATATAATGTATTAACACCGAAATAACTCCTAGTTAAATTAAAGCAATTTTTTTTCTCTCGATCTTCATCGTCTTCTCTACCTCTTCTTTTCTTCACTTAGATCGATTTAACCATCATCATCACCACAACCGTGATTGCTCTTCCTCGGCTGCCTCTTCCAAGTGTTCTCTCCTTACCCACGGTTCCTCTCTTTTTTCCTCTTCTCCATTATCTTTTCGATTTCTTTGGCTCAAAGCCTATCTCTTCTGATCTCTCTGCCGCTTCCTTCTCTATTGCTTTCTCGTCCCTCTCTCTGGTATGGTTTGGACCTGTCAGCGAGATCTGCTTTAATCCCAACTTCATTCTGAAGTTAATCTTAATTTCTTATTCTGCGATTATTTATTTCTAGTTTCTCATATGTTGATTTAGAATGGGTGTTTTTGTTTATACTTTTCTGAAAATTTTGTATCAATTTATGGAGAATTTAGGATGTTGCTTCATAAATCATCGTCCGTTCCAATAGTGTCAAATCTCATAATTGATTTTAGTTTTGGAATTGGAGTTTTTGTTTGTACTATATTTTTGATTTGTGTTGAATGTTTACTATAATATTTTAAATTTCTTTCAATGCTTTAAAGAAATTTTTTGTTACAATAGAAAATTTTGGGTTTTCATGGCTTGGTGTGTTATCTTTTCTATATAGTGTTATACTATATTTCATATTGGCTACTATACTATATAATAAGAGAATTTTCGCTATGGTGCCTTACTCCCATGTGTGTCTTTGGTTTCATGTAGTGGGGATGGAGAGAGGACAACTTGATGGATATCCGTAAGGGTAAACGCGAGGAGATTGATGAAGAAGAGTCGTGATGCTGGCCAGATGTTGAGTGACAATGACTTTCTTTGTTAATCATGAAACCATATAATGTTATACTATTTTTCATGATTTGTGATTATACTATGTAATTTATGTGATTAATGTAATGGTAGTTTACTCTGTAGTTTACATTAGACTTAAAAATATCATTGACAAATAATTTATAGCAAGTAATTTATAGCTTTAATATTTGCCAAAATAGCAACAAAAGCCAATCCAAGTTCTATGTTATTATATGTAAATTACAACAATACTATATAAATTAGATAGTATAAAATATTATAGAATACATAACAAAAACCATAACGCGTGAATTGATATAAAAAGATTATAGTTGTTCTATATAAATAATATTTTTGGTTTAAATTCAGAGATAGAATTTAGAGTTTAGGGGTATGGGTATAGTAAGTAGTGGCTTAGATTTAGTTTTAAAATAGTTGGTCTTATTTCAAAGTTTATAACGGATTATAGTTTACGAGGAGTATATATATAGAGTTTGGATATATGTAGGAGGTTTGGGTATAGTAAGTAGTGGCTTGAGTTTAGATTTAAAATATTTTGGTCCATTTCAAAATTTATAACAGATTTAGTTTGGGTATATTAAGTAGTAGCTTGGATTTAGTTTTGATTTAGACGAATCTATTGGTTCGATTACATTTCCATATAAATGACATAGTATATAATTTTTTTTTTGTTACATACATAGTATACAATACTAAATCCAACTTCATAGATTGTATTTTGTATAAAAAATACTTCTTTTATACTATATTACTTATAATAAATAGAATAATATGCTAATAAAACAGACTAAACAATATACGAGAAGACAAATATCTGTGATTGTATGGATCCACTATAGCTGTCAAAAAGATAATTTAATAAATAATTATTAGGGGTATTTTCGTCCAAAAGAAAAAGGCATGGTTACTTTCTTTGTTTCATTTTTCATAAGGCTATATTCGTAATTATGGGGTGAATTATGATTATTCACCAAAAACACCCTTGTGAAAGAGAAATTGTATTAAAAATTTTACATTTTGACTCGTTATTAGTTTTTTAACCATATGAAATGATGGCTACGATAATTTGCTTATATTATGTATTAATACCGAAATAACCTCTAATTAAATTAAAACAATTCTTTCTCTCTCTCTCTCTACCTTCATCGTCTTCTCTGACTCTGTTTATCTCCGCTTCTCTACCTTTTATTTTCTTCTCTTAGATTGATCTCTCCATCATCATCACCACCACCGTGATTGCTCTTCCTCAGCTGCCCCTTCCAAGTGTCCTCTCCTTACTCACGTCTCCTCTCTTTTTTCATCTTCTCCATTATCTTCCAGATTTCTCTGGCTCAAAGCCTATCTCTTCTGATCTCTCCGCCGCTTCCTTCTCTCTTGCTTTCTCCTCCCTCTCTCTGGTCTGATTTGGATCTGTCAGCGAGATCTGCTTTAATCCCAACTTCATTATGAAGATAACCTCAATTTCTTATTTCGCGATTATTTATTTCCAGTTTCTCCTATGTTGATTTTGAATTGGAATTTTTGTTTGTACTTTCCTGGATTTTTTGTACCAATTTATGGAGAATTTAGAATGTTGCTTTACTGATCATCGTACGTTCCAATAGCGCCAAATCTCATAATTCATTTTAGTTTTGGAATTTGAGTTTTTGATTGTACTAGATATTAATTTGTGTTGAATGTTTACTATACTATTTTGGATTTCCTTAATGCTTTAGTGGTTTGTTTCTTTTCCTCTTTATTATTGTTAATTAATTATATACAGATCTGGATTTTTGTTAATTTTGGATGTTTGTTACAATAGAAAATTTTGGGTCTTGATGACTTGGTGTGTTATCTTTTCTATTTAGTGTTATACTATATTTCATATTGGCTACTATACTATATAATAAGAGAATTTTCGCTATGGCGCCTAAATCCCATGTGTGTCTTTTGTTTCACATAGTGGGGATGGAGAGAGAAAAACTTGATGGATATCCATAAGAGTAAGCGCGAGGAGATTGATGAAGAAGAGTCGTGATGCTGGACAGATATTGAGTGGCAATGACTTTCTTTGTTAATCATGAAACCATATAATGTTATACTATTTTTTCATGATTTGTGATTATACTATGTAGTTTTTGTGATTAATGTAATGGTGGTTTACTCTGTAGTTTTACTTTAGACTTAAAAACATCTTTGACAAATAATTTATAGCAAGTAATTTATAGCTTTAATATTTGTCAAAATAGGAACAAAGGCTAATTCAAGTTCTATGTTATTATATGTAAATTACAACAATACTATATAAATTAGATAGTATAAAATATTATAGAATACATTACAAAAACCATAGCGCGAGAATTGATTTTAAATGATTTTAGTCGTTCTATATAAATAATATTTTTGGTTTAAATTCAGAGTTGGAATTTAGAGTTTAGGGGTTTGGGTATAGTAACTAGTGGTTTGGATTTAGTTTTAAAATATTTGGTATTATTTCAAAGTTTATAATGAATTATAGTTTATGAGGAGTATATATACGGAGTTTGGGTATAGGTAGGAGGCTTGAGTATAGTAAGTACTGGCTTGAGTTTAGATTTAAAATATTTTGGTCCATTTCAAAATTTATAACAGATTTAGTTTGGATATATTTAAAGTAGCTTGAATTTAGTTTTGATTTAGAAGAACTTATTGGTTCGATTACATTTATATATAAGTTACATAGTATAGAATTTCCTTTTTCTGTTAAATACATAGTATACAATATTATATCCAACTTCATAGATTGTATTTTGTATAAAAAAACTTCTTTTATACTATATTACTTATTATAAATAGAATAGTATGCTAATAAAACATATTAAATAGTATACGAGAAGATAAATATTCGTGATTGTATGGATCCACTATAGCTGTCAAAACAATTATTGTCAAGAAGATAATTTGATAAATAATTATAAGGAACATTTTTGTCCGAATGAAAAAGGGATGATTACTTTCTTTCTTTCATTTTTCATATGGTTATATTCTTAATTATGGAGTGAATTATGATTATTCTTTTTTTTTGGAACAACTAATTCATTAAAAACAAACGCGATTACACCGAGGGGTCTCTTTGGAGTGCCAATTTTGCCAAAGTATCAGCGAAAGTATTCTCCGATCTAAGGATATGAGAGAAACTGATAAAAGAAAAAGATAGAGACAAAGTTTTGATATCTTGGATGATGCCATAGATCTCCTTGATTTGAGTCTCTGTTGTGATGGATTTGATTAGATCCAGTGAGTCAGATTTGAAGCTGACGATTTGGTGGTCGAGGGCTTGGGCATGCAGGATTGCTGCACGAAGTGCCAGAGCTTCTGCAATTAGTGGCGATGCGACGAAAAGTTCTGATCCCATTCCTGTCTGTTGGGGAGTCGTTGGATCACCGAAATGCCACCCAAACCCCCCTTTTTGGAGATCCGCCATCCAAGCTGCATCAGTGTGGCAGTCGACAGAGTTCCACGGAGGATTTGGTATATCTCAGGGTCGGGTGTTGACTACGGGGGTAACCTTCTTCTTGCTTAGGTTTGCCTCCTGCCAATCTCGAGCCGCCTTTATCCCTTTTGCAATGACCTCTTGCACCGAGACTACTCGATTTTCGAAGATGAAGAGGTTACAGGCGTTCCAAATCTGCCAGCATAGCCAGGGAAACAGCGGTCCGAGGCCGACTCCAGCCGGTGGAAGGCAGATGAGACGTTTTCCCGTTGCCAGTCCCTCGAGGAAAGTGCCAACGGCGTTAACATCCATCGTTGTCGCGAAGGGTGATAGCTGCCATACCGATCTCGCGAAGGCACAATGGAGAAAGAGGTGTTCTGTTGTTTTAGGTTCGTCACACCTCTTGCAATTAGCCCCTATTTCAATTCCTCTTTTGCTTAGATTTTCGCCTATTGCAATTGCTCCTTGAGTCACCTTCCAAAGGAACATCTTTATCTTAGGAGAGAGCTTCTCTGACCATATTTCTGTATTCCAATTGGTTGCAGGACCATTGGTGTTCTGTGCAGGTGTAGATGTTGCTTGGGTTTGTAAGGCCACTGCCGCGTGGTATCCCGATTTCGTAGAGTATTCCCCATCCCTGGTAGGTAGCCAGACAAAGGCATCTTTTACCTTCTTTGTGCTTTGCTTCAGGGTCAAAATGTTTTGTTTCCAAGCTGATAGGATAGCATCGATGTGAGCTTTGTCCCAGCTTTGTGTACCTGCTTCCATAAGATCAGACACAAGCAGGTGCTGTGTGTTTTCCGTTGGTGGTCCTATTGGTGTCAAGGGATTAGTTAAGGAGAGCCACGGGTCTTCCCACACTTTGGTGTCCTGTCCGTTGCCAATAACCTTTCCCAGTTGACTTTTTAGGAGATCTCACCCAATGAGAATGCCCTTCCATCCGTGAGAAGCCGAGGATCGAAAGGGGACGTTTAGGAAATTCTCGTGGGTGCAGTACTTCCCTGCGAGAGTACGCTCAACTAGGCTGTCTGGTTTTTTGAGTATTCTCCAGCTCAGCTTTGCCAACAAAGCATCGTTGGAGTTTTGGATATCTTTGAAGCCCAAACCCCCATCTCGTGTTGATCGGGTAAGTTTACTCCAAGCTGACCAGCATAGGTTTCGCTTTTCTGGTTTCTTATCCCACCAGAATCGAATTAAGCTTGACTGTATTCTTTTGCATAGGCTGACAGGTAACTTGAAGCATGTCATTGTGTAGGTCGGGATAGTAGAAAGGACTGATTTCAGCATTGTTAGCTTTCCAGCACTCGAGAGACGTCTTGTTGACCAGCTAATACTCTTTTGGTTCTGTCGACGATTGAGGTAAACAGGTATTTCTTCCTTCTTCCAAAATGCTCTGGGAGTCCTAAGTACTTCCCTTGTCCTCCCTCTTTTGTTATTCCCAAGATCTGCTTAACCCTTTCCTTAATTGCAGGTTGATTTTTACCCGAGAAGGTGATGGAGGATTTTTGGGGGCTAATCACTTGTCCGGAAGCCTCCTCATACTTCCTGAGGATGGTTTTAATTTCTTCACAGCTGCTTGGGGATGTTCTGCAGAAGAACATGGTATCATCTGCGAACAGCAGGTGATTTATTCTAGGACTTTTCTTTGCAATCTGTAGTCCTGGTAGCTTGCCATTTAACATTGCTCGGTTGCAGAGTCCCGAGAGCACTTCTCCGCATAGGATGAAGATAAACGGTGAGAGGGGATCTCCTTGGCGTATTCCTCTCTGGGGCGTCACTGCTCCTTGGGCCGAGCTATTGATGAGGTAAGCATAGGTTACCGTAGTGATGCAGTTCATGACCCAGCCTATCCATTTGATATCAAAACCAAATCTGATTAGCACTTGTTCAATGAAGGTCCACTCCAGGCGATCGTAGGCCTTGCTCATGTCTGTCTTGATGGCCATGGAGCACTGTTTTGTTGCACTCGAGCGTTTAAAGCAGTGAAGCATCTCGTGTGTGATCATCACATTATCTCCAATAGGTCTTCCAGGTATAAAGGCTGACTGATTTTCTGATATTAAAGATGGTAGAACCCCTTGTAGTCTTCGGGTGATAATCTTAGAGAAGATCTTATAGTAAACGTTGCAGAGGGCTATATGCCTGTAATCTGATACTAACTTGGGGCTTCTTATCTTAGGTATAAGGCGGATATGTGTATTATTGAGGCTTCTCGTCATCGCTGTTGAAGTGAAGTAGCCTTGGATTTCTTCCACTATCTTCAGACCTATTACCCTCCAGTTATATTGAAAAAAGCTTGCAGAGAAGCCGTCCGGGCCAGGGGCTTTATCCGGATGTATCGAGAAAAGTGCATTCGTATCTCCTTTGGGGATGGCACTACTGTCAGCTTAGAGTTGTCTTCGTCAGTTACTATTGGGTGAATAGCTAAGTTGATTGTCTCAGAACAATCTGTGTGCTTCGAGCCAAACAGGTTAGTGAAATAGTTGCAAATCACATTTGTTATTTCCTCTTCTTCAAAGAAAACCTTTCCTTCCTCATTTACTATAACTGAGAATTATGATTATTCATTAAAACAAATTTTGTGAAAGAGAAATTGTATTAGATAATCATATTTTGATTGGTTATTGGTTTTTTAACCATATGAAATGATGGCTACGATATTTTACATAAATTATGTATTAATACCAAAAAAACCCCTAGTTAAATTAAAACAATTCTTTCTCTCTCTGGACCTTCATTGTCTTCTCTGCCTTTGTTTCTCTTTACTTCTCTACCTCTTCTTTTCTTCTCTTAGATCAATCTCACCATCATCATCACCACCACTGTGATTGCTTTTCCTTAGCCGCCCCTTCCAAGTGTCCTCTCCTTACCCACTGCTCCTCTCCATTTTCCTCTTCTCCATTATCTTCCCAATTTCTCTGGCTCAAAGCCTATCTCTTCTGAACACTCCACCGCTTCCTTCTCTCTTGCTTTTTCCTCCCTCTCTCTGGTCTGGTTTGGATCTGTCAGAGAGATCTGCTTTAATCTCAATTTCATTCTGAAGGTAACCTCAATTTCTTATTTCGCGATTATTTATTTCCAGTTTCTCCTATGTTGAATTAGAATTGGAGTTTTTGTTTGTACTTTCCTGGAATTTTTGTACCAATTTATGGAGAATTTAGGATGTTGCATCACTGATCATCATCCGTTCCAATAGCGCCAAATCTCATAACTGATTTTAGTTTTGGAGTTTGAGTTTTTGATTGTACTAGATTTTAATTTGTGTTGAATGTTTACTATACTATTTTGGATTTCCATCAATGCTTTAGTGGTTTGTTTCGTTTCCTCTCTATTATTGTTAATTAATTATGTGCAGATCTGAATTTTTGTTAATTTTGGATGTTTGTTACAATAGAAAATTTTGGGTTTTCATGGCTTGGTGTGTTATCTTTTCTATATAGTGTTATACTATATTTCATATTGGCTACTATACTATATAATAAGAGAATTTTCGCTATGGTGCCTTACTCCCATGTGTGTCTTTGGTTTCATGTAGTGGGGATGGAGAGAGGACAACTTGATGGATATCCGTAAGGGTAAACGCGAGGAGATTGATGAAGAATAGTCGTGATGCTGGCCAGATGTTGAGTGACAATGACTTTCTTTGTTAATCATGAAACCATATAATGTTATACTATTTTTCATGATTTGTGATTATACTATGTAATTTATGTGATTAATGTAATGGTAGTTTACTCTGTAGTTTACATTAGACTTAAAAATATCATTGACAAATAATTTATAGCAAGTAATTTATAGCTTTAATATTTGCCAAAATAGCAACAAAGGCCAATCCAAGTTCTATGTTATTATATGTAAATTACAACAATACTATATAAATTATATAGTATAAATTATTATACAATACATAAAAAAAACCATAACGCGAGAATTGATTTTAAATGATTTTAGTTGTTCTACATAAATAATATTTTAGGTTAAATTCAGAGTTAGAATTTAGAATTTAGGGGTTTAAGTATAGTAAGTAGTGGCTTGATTTTAGTTTTAAAATATTTGGTCTTATTTCAAAGTTTATAACGGATTATAGTTTATGAGGAGTATATATACGGAGTTTGGGTACATGTAGGAGGTTTGGGTATAGTAAGTAGTGGTTTGAGTTTAGATTTAAAATATTTTGGTCCATTTCAAAATTTATAACAGATTTAATTTGAATATATTAAGTAGTAGTATGGATTTAGTTTTGATTTGGAAGAATTTATTGGTTCGATTACATTTCTATATAAATTACATAGTATATAATTTGTTTTTTCTATTAAATACATAGTATACAATACTAAATCATACTTCACAGATTGTATTTTGTATAAAAAAACTTCTTTTATACTATATTGCTTATTATAAATAGATTAGTATGTTAATAAAACAGACTAAACAGTATACGAAAAGACAAATATTTGTGATTGTATGAATCCACTATAGCTGTCAAGAAAATTTTTGTCAAAAAGATAATTTAATAAATAATTATAAGGGGCATTTCATCCGAAAGAAAAAGAGATGATTACTTTCTTTGTTTCATTTTTCATTTGGTTATATTCTTATTTATGGGGTGAATTATTTTGGTCCATTTCAAAATTTCTTAACAGATTTAGTTTGGATATATTAAGTAGTAGTATGGATTTAGTTTTGATTTGGAAGAATTTATTGGTTTGATTACATTTCTATATAAATTACATAGTATATAATTTCTTTTTTCTATTAAATACATAGTATACAATACTAAATCCTACTTCATAGATTGTATTTTGTATAAAAAAACTTCTTTTATACTATATTGCTCATTATAAATAGATTAGTATGCTAATAAAACAGACTAAACAGTATAAGAAAAAACAAATATTTGTGATTGTATGGATCCACTATAGCTGTCAAGAAAATTATTGTCAAAAAAGATAATTTAGTAAATAATTATAAGGGGCATTTCATCCGAAAGAAAAAGAGATGATTACTTTCTTTTTTTCATTTTTATTTGGTTATATTCTTAATTATGGGGTGAATTATTTTGGTCCATTTCAAAATTTATAACAGATTTAGTTTAGATATATTAAGTAGTAGTATGGATTTAGTTTTGATTTGGAAGAATTTATTGGTTCGATTACATTTCTATATAAATTACATAGTATATAATTTCTTTTTTCTATTAAATACATAGTAGACAATATTAAATCCTACTTCATAGATTGTATTTTGTATAAAAAAACTTCTTTTATACTATATTGCTTATTATAAATAGATTAGTATGCTAATAAAACAGACTAAACAGTATACGAAAAGACAAATATTTGTGATTGTATGGATCCACTATAGCTGTCAAAAATTATTATCAAAAAAGATAATTTAATAAATAATTATAAGGGGCATTTCATCCGAAAGAAAAAGAGATGATTACTTTCTTTGTTTCATTTTTTATTTGGTTATTGTAAAAACTCAAGTTCGATCTACGAAAGAATTAGGGTTTGTGGGTTTAAAGAGGTCTTTTATTAGAAGAAGCCGGAGCTTGAATGAATACACGAGGGTTTAGGTCGTCGGAATAAGAACGCCGACTTAAACTTTTATGGAAAGTAAATCGAAAGCTAGAACAATCAAATTGCTTAGTTTGCCCTAGGTCTCGATAGATGATTTTTGGATGGATTGAGGAGTCGAGGACCTCCTATATTTATAGCCGATCAGGTCGGTCTTCAATCTGCTTGGAATAGGAAACTCTTGTCGGCAAGGAGTTTTCTTTTTCCCCGGGTTGCTCGATAAATGGAAGATTCCTTTTATGTTGCCGACCTGGAACTTGTTAGACGGGCCGACCAGAGTTCGTATCGGACTTGTTAGAGACGGTACGGATCTCATCTCTAACAGTAAGTCCCCCCCTAGTTTGGCAAGTGAGGGTACATTACTTGGTGAACTTCATGATGTATTGCTTGGTATGCATTCTGGTCGGCTATAAAAAAGAGTGAATAAAAAATGAAATTATTACCTAGACTTCTGATCGGCGCGATGATGAGGGCCAGATTGTGATTTTGGGCGCGAAAAGTTCCCGCCTAAAAAATGACGTAGGCTAGGCCTAGGTTTGCGCATGCAGAACTAGAGTTGACACGTGTCAAACCCTAGCAGGTGAAGCTGAAGAGGCCGATTAAAATTTAACAAGAAGAAATGTGGAGAGTCCCATGCTCATGATGATTGATAACCGTCCAGATATTTCTATAAATAAGGGGGACTCGGCTTCAATTTCCTCACTTCTGCATTTATAGCGAAACTCTGTCAAAATCAGGTTTGCTCTCTCCCCTTCCCTTGTTCTCTTTTTATTTAGAATTTTAGATCGGCCGACTAGACCTCCGCCGTGTTTCGTTCTGAACGCCGATCGAGCATGGGTAAAAGCATTCAAATCAGAGAAAGACGACCAGGCTCAGAGGAAATCAGATCAGCGCAGAAGAGAGCTGACGACCAGGTCGATAAAAGCCGATCGAAGGGAAAACGGGTCGTCGTTGAGGAATCAGAGTCGGATCGGTCCTCGGATGCAAGCGAGTTATCGGCGTTGGATCGTGCGTTCCAGGAACGCGTTCGAGAGAAGAACCAGCAAGCTGCGGCCGATCGGTTCCACGCCGATCAAGTTGGAATCGTCCAGAGGTCTGGGGAGACATCGTCCAGGGTCGAATTCGAGATTCTCGAGTTGCGAGATGAAGACGATGTGAGAGGCGGATCGAACGAGATAAATATCTCGGATGAGCTAAACGCCATCATTGTTGAAGATGAAGTAAATCAGTTCGGAATTATCGACATTAATCCGCCAGTGGAGAAAGTTAAGAGGCGAAAAGGGGAGCCGGCAATTAAGTTGATCTGCGACAACACTCTCGGGGTGATGCCGACCAAATCGATCTTGGAATCACTGGTGACCTTGAAGGAAGAATGCGATATTGGTCCTGAGGTGATCTTCATGGTTCCGAGCCCGTCAAAACGACCGTGGGATGCTCCTACAGGATGGCTATGTCTCCATGAATGTTTTTTCACGAACTTTCATCTGTGGTTCCCGCTTCCGAGACTTCTTCTGGAATTTGCTGCCCACAAAGAAATGCCGATCAGCCAGTTTACCCATGCGACGATACGGCTGATTGTCAGCATGCTAGTGATGTCGACCAGGCATGATATCCCATTGAGTCGAGCAGCATTCGATGCTATGACGAACACTCGTCGTACGAAGGCCAATTTGAGGAACCGGGGTTCATATTATACGAGTATGAAGACTCGATACGACATCGTGATTGGCGGTCACAAAACCAAGGTGGCGGATTGGAGAGATCGGTATTTCTTCGTGCTAATCAACGAATTTTCCATCGCCGACGCAGATAGAGATATCCCGATCAGAACGAAATGGGCGGAGGTCATGGGTAGAGACATGACCGATATGAAATACGGCGTAACTTGTTATTTTTGTTTCTGATCGAATCTTTTTTATTTTACAGGAAACAGGCCTCTTCTATTCGTTGACGATCCTCTCAATTTCGACAATATCTCCAATCGATTCGCTGCGATCAGCGCGATCACTTGGCCCGAGATCACAGAAGAAAGGATTGCGAGGACAAGAGGTTCGTTCGATCTGACTCTTTTTTACTTTTTCTAAACCTGCTTTGACACCCGAGGGCTTTCATTCGATCTGACTCTTTTTTAATTTATTTCTCAGTTGCGCTTGAACGACGCTCCCGACGACGAGAGAAGATGAAGTCTGTCACTTTTAAGGATCTGTCGACCGATATGGAATCTGCCCTAGTGTCTCCCAGTGTTCGGAATCCAGAGAATCCTGCGGCTAAGGATATCGAGCAGGAGGCTCTGAACAAGGTTGAGAGGGACGCTGCTAAGGCTAAGAAATCGGCCGATAAGAAGGCTGCAAGGAGGATTGAGAAAGCTCGCAAAGAGACCGAGCAAGGGCAGAGTAGGAATGACGATCAGGGTCATATCATTGTAGGTGAGGCTGAAGGCGGCGATGGAAGCCCTATGAACCCGAGGAAGCGGAGTTCGGAAGAAAATTCTGAACCGAGGACGTCCAAGAGGTCTCGTGCTGAGAGACAACTACGTCCGTTCGGGTTTTCCTACGAGTACCGCGGGGATAGCCCAATAGTGCACGATTCGGTGTCCTGCTTAGACTATTTCCTTAAGCTAAGGGACAACCCGGCAAGTCCACCTACTGACCCTCGCGGGTACATTCGCAGTGATGCGATTGCACGTTTTGCGCATGAACAAGCCAAGGTAAAAAATATCCCGAATGCTTTTTTATAGGCCTTCTGTATTTAAAATGTTTGAATGCTGATTTTTTTTGGTGAATACAGGCTCTGAGTACAGTGTTGACTGCCGTGAATGAGTACGACCGGGACGCGAAGAAGTTCCTGGCCGTGGAGGCTGAAGTGGAGAGTCTTAAGGAAGCTCTCGAGGCTGAACGGAGAAGAAGGGCCGAGCTGGAAAATGCGCTTCAAAAATCTTCTGAGGAACTCGAGAAGGTTCGCGCCAATGATGCTGAGAAAAGCAAACTGCTCAATCGAGCAGTCAAAGCTATTAAGAAGGAGAGGGCTAACTCGCAAACGAAGTTGGAGGCCGGGCTGAAGGCCGCTTACGAAGAGAAGATTGCCTTTGGGCAAGAAGTGGCGAAACGTACGTCGGTTGCGGTGAATAACCACTATGCGGGTTTGGTCGACAAAGTGAAGGAGTCGCTTTCCCGTAAGGAGAAGGCCAATGAGTTGATATCGACCGTGGCTCAGTGGGTCGGAGCTAA